TGCGATGCCGAGCTTTTTATCACGTCCTTGTAATTCATCCCGAGCCGAAAATCAAATTCCATCACGCTGTCCCTGTGCATTGCGTAGCTTTCCTTTGACCTTTCAAAGGTGCGTTCGATTTTCTTATTCGAGTGACCCAACATTTGAAAAATATCATTCAATGACAAATCATGATCATCCTGACAAATAACCATGAACTCATCCATAAAACCAAATGATCGCCCAGCCCGAATGCTAACCGACAAACAATTGTTACGCGTGACCTGTCACGTCACGTCGCAGGGCGGTTACAACTTGACGTCCATCTCCGACTCCATGGCCATGTGCACGAGCGCGCTGCTGGGTGATCCTCCTCCTTCGCTGGCGACGCCCCTCCCCCCACCTCACGACGCCGCCGTGGCAGCCATCAATGAGGTCATCCGGCACCACGCCCCCTACTGGAAGTCGTTGCGGATAAACAGTGAGTGCGGGGGGGCGGTGGGCCTGCGATTGTCTCTGGTTTATCTCCCAAACTTTTTTTGTGACACATTTGACGCATCTATCTATCTCTTTTGTGCAAACTGGGGATGAGTAGTACTTTACAATGAGAAAAAAATGGGCAGGAGTCCACACGTTGCGTCATGTTGCAATTTATTTTCTCAAAATTTGAAAAGAAAAATGTGCCATTCTTCCGACCAAATTCCAGCATGAAATTCACCTCATGGCAGAAAAATTACCTCAAGACCTTCAATGTTTCGCATTGCTTTTAACAGTATAGTATACATTTTTAACTTCAGATAACTATAAATGACTATGCGATTACTGTCCGAATGAGCTTTTTTTTACAACCATATTTTTCTATCAGGTTTGTCCACTTTTGTATTAATTACAAAAGAGTCTGAAAAACTTGAAAAAATATATTATTGCACATTTAGAACAGATCTTAATCCTTTTGTTCTTAGTCCCCGAATCCCTGCGAGCAGCTATACCTTCCCCGAGCGCTCATCGGAGGCGCAGTGGAAAAGGCAAAGGCAGGAGGTCAAGACAGAGTGGTCCAGACCAACCACCCCTGCCCCCTGCTGGACTGGAGGGCAACACAGTAACAGCACAAACACAAAAACACCTACACAGGACATATTTATGTGCAGCGTGGCAAGCGTTGACATTGTTTTTGGTGTTTGGACCAATCAGGCAGACCACAGTTTGGACCAACTCACACAAGGTTTGGCCAGCTTGGACATCAGTCCAAGCGCGCACCCGCCCGACGTGGAAGCGGAGTCAAGTGAAGTGACGTCTGAGCGGAACCGGTCCAGGGCCAAGTCGAGTGAAGTGTCCCCTGAGCAGAGCCGATCAGCAGAAAGCTCACAGCCACCAGTGAGTTCAAGGCTTCACAGGCTTGCGGTGTCATCGGATCAGTGTTGCCATGACAACAAGCAATCGGTATGGCAGTGGGGGTAATTTGTGCCTCTGTGCCAGCGGTGGGCGACCATGTGCTGCTAAACACGTCCGCCTCACAGTGCAGAGGTGCAGGGTTCGATTCCGGCTCCGGCCTTCCTGTGTGGAGTTTGCATGCTTTCGCGTGCCCGCGTGGGTTTTCTCCGGGTATTCCGGTTTCCTCCCATATTCCAACAAACATACATGGCAGGCTGATTGAACACTCTAAATTGTCCCAAGGTGTGACTCCGGGCGCGAATGTTTGTTCGTCGATGTGTGCCCTGCAATTGGCTGGCAACGGGTTCAGGGTGTCCCCCGCCTACTGCCCGAAGACAGCTGGCTATAGGCTCTGGCACACCTCGCGACCCTCGTGAAGAGAAGCAGATTAGAAAATGGACGGATGAATAATTAATTATTTTTAGTGAATGAATAATGAATGAAACCAATTTTTAAATTAGATCAATGAATGGACAAAACAAATCTCAACTTTATTTATAGGGCAACCGCAGCTGTAAACACAAGTGTATGAAATCTAAACCACATTAAGATGAATCATTAAATTAATGCACCAAATACCACAGGAGTCTTGATCATGTAACTGCTCGGTGAAGGACGTTTCATAGTTGATGGAGTTTTTCTCACATTTTCTTTCTTAGCGCCTGCCAACGTTATGCTTTGTTATCACGCTCAGGTCGTCATCGACCCCGCACCAACAGATGTTGACCCTGGGGAGGAGGCGGAGCCTGGGGGAGCGTGCGGTTGGTCCAAGCCTCAAGGAACTCTGGAGCTGACGTGTGGCGTGCAGATGGTCAGTCAGGACTCCATTACTGCTCTGGAATTTCCTACTCAAATGAACTCAGATGTGCGTGCGTGCATGTGTGCGTGTCTGTCTGCAGGCCCCCATGTATGTGGTGGACCCTCTGTCCTGGTGTCCTCACCTGGACGCCATCAAGCCCCTGCCCCCATCTGGTATCGATATCTTCCAGCACTGTCAGGACTGTGCCTCGGAGGCAGAGAACTGGATCTGCCTCACCTGCTACAAGGTGACTCACTGATTGTCCAGTCAGCTAAAAATGGGTGCATCTTAGTTTTGGTACCAGGGCAAGTCTCGTCGAGCGTGCACCTCATTGGGCGTTCCAACACATGAAGCTAAAGCACCCTTGATGCAGCTAATTTGGTCGCAGAAAATCGACTGCGCTCAGCCTAAAAATGGGCGGATCTGCCCTGCTGGGCCTTCCAGGTGATGCGCCTCCTGGCATATCTTGCAATTTGGTGAGGGACAAAGTAGACTCAACTTTAGACTACTTAAAACCAGGTCTAAATGGCAGCGCGGGCGATGTAACGGGATTTTAGTGTTTTTGATCACGGCGCAGGCAGCTCGGTTTGGCACTCCGCAGACATTTGGGTATGGTAGGGTACCCACACACATCATCGGTGCCTGGTGGTCTCCGACTGTTCGTGTCACATGCACGGTTGACTGTGTCATCCGCAAGGGGAGATCTTGCAGTTTAGCTGCCAATGTCATGCACAAACCCCAGCGAGTCTATTTCTGTCAAGCAAGGCGTGTTCTCCGACCGCCCTGATTTTAATGCAAATGAGGGATGCCACTCATCTACGTTACATCCCACAACGGCGCAAACGCCCCGTTACGCTCCTCTGGACTAGTGCAAAGTCAGGCAAAACACCAAAAGAAAACTCCACCCATTTACACAGTTAGACTGCGCTCTGCTTCCCCGGCATCAGGTGGCGTGCGGCCGCTACGTCAACGAGCACATGTTGATGCACGGTGCCACGGCCGATCATCCGGTGGTGCTGAGTTTCTGCGACCTCTCCGTGTGGTGCTATGCGTGCGAGTCCTACGTGCACAACCAGGTGATGTTTCACGGATTGATTGATTAACTGCTTATTTCGAACGTACGGTACCAAAAAAAAATTTCTCCCTCTCTCAACTTTTCCACAGTTTCACACTACAAATTGATGTTGCTGTTTTTTAAACTTGCAGAAAAGTTGTACTGCTGTGATATCATAACCTCCTTGATGCGTGCAGGCCGTGTTTGAAGCGAAGAGCGCCGCCCACAGCGCCAAGTTTGGAGAGGAGATGCCGCCCTGGAGTTAGGAGAACGAGGATGAAAATGAAGAGTGCTCAGATTTGTATATATTTGATCATTTTTACAGCGAACCCCTGTTTATTATGCGGGAATATGTTCCAGTTTGCTGCTGTAGAAGAAAAACTGCAAGATACTATGCAATTTTTTTTTTTTTTGAAGGGGGTGTCATTTTATCACTTCCACCGACTTTCAACACATTTTAACTTGCTAAAATGCACTTCCAATGATGAGCATTTTCACCTGCGTGATGTCTCGAAACGGGCGACTCAGATCGCTTTGAGAGAGTGAAAAGAAGAGGACTCCCTCCCCAAATGAGAGGCGAGGCGTGCTTGCGTCCAGCAGATTTTTGTCACTCCCAGTTGAAGTTTATGATAAAACTGTCACATAAAAGGAAACAGAATTGAGAAATGTATATTGAAGCACCACAAGTTCGACAAAACCAAATCACAAACGTTGTCTAGCTTCGTGCTAACATACGGTAGGAAGAGCCATGAGCGGGCTAACGGGGCTAAATTAGGAACGGTATTTATAAACCCTCAAACCACTGCTACTTCAACACACCCGGAGCAGCAATACAAAGCAGACAGGGATACTCAAAGCTCGAAGGAAAACATTCGCTCGACTTCATGGAAACTGGGACTGCTGTTGCATCTTAATGGGGGACCTTCTCTGCCTCTTTATGCTTTTGGGGTTCACTGTCCATCTTTGCCTTCTACCCAATGAGTCGTGTTGACGTTAGGATGTTGAGGTTGCCATGGCAACTTGAGGAGGCCTGTTTGTTGTGCAATAATGTTTCAATACAAACATTAATAATAAAAAAATGTTTTTACAGATAAAGGTTCTTCATCCAAACATCATTTTTGCTCTGCAGTCTCAATAACAAGATGTGGTCACATACAGCATCCAGCCATGCATTTTTATTTGATTTTATTTTCGCTTTTTCTCATTAGGGTGCTGGCTGAGCGCGAGTCAAATAGACCCACACTGGACTGGTAGTCAGAGTTCGGCACACCTTGAAAAACAATCGACTGGTCGCCAAACAAGGCGTGGTTCATATACCAGGACGTCGAGATCCCCAATCCAGCCTGCCTTACATGTCTCCCTCTTCCGACAACCTGACTCAAATGGTCGGCTCATCGGCAAGCTTTGCAGAAGCCTGAGAACGATCCTGCTCAGAAGAAAATAAAAAAACGCCGATCAACCTCCAGTCAGCATTTTCCGTGAAAAATACGCGCCCCCCACCCCCAAAAAAAGAAAAGAAAAGGGAACTTGCTGAATCCGCGGGTTCCTCTGTAAATTAATTCTTGAAAAAGATGTTCCTCGGTCCGCCTGCGGGCGTCGCTGTGGTGGAGGGTCCAATTTGCGTCCTCGTCGCTCCCATCCTCGCTGACGGGCACGCGCGCCGTTGTACCAGACGGGAACGCGCCTCGGTTCGAGTCGCTCTCGGCCAGCGTGCGCGCGAAGCTGCTGCAGGTTGGTTTGTTTTGCTTCCTCTTTTCCGTATGATGAAAAAAATCCCAGACGGTGGTGAAAGCGGTGATGATCACTCGGCGTTGGTGAGGCGGATTTTATTGCAAAAATGTCACGCCTGCGGATCATCTGGCGTCTGCGTTCGAGTCTTAAGGGTTTTGGATAGACCGAACGTGATTTTCTTTTCGTTCTGGGCAACACGATGCGGTAGCGGTTAGTGCATTCGCGTGACCTTGTTGAAGGTTCGAATCTGAGCTCAAGTTGTACAATGTGTGACTTCCCCGTTCCTCTGTTAGCTTCATTGAAGAATGTCTAAAATGCTGGAAATGTGAATGTTCGTTTCTCAATCTGTGCCGGGGCATTGAGTGGCGACCCACACTTGGATGGATGAAAGTCGGGAACAAGCATTTCATGTCGTCCGTTCAGTGATCTTATTTTGATTTTTGACTACGTCCTCCGAGGAAATCTGAGTGACGTGGCCCGGTGAGCGCGGTCATGACGTCGGCGGTGACGCCCGGCCTGGGCGACCTGTCCCGCTTGTACCAGACGGAGTTCGTGCGCAGCGCCCGCGCGGTGGGCGCCCTGTGGGCCGTGTGCACGCTGTGCTTCGCCATCATTCAGGTGGTCATCCTGGTGCAGCCGTCCTGGATCGGAACCGCCGAAGTGCGCCACCCGGGGACGGGGCCGGCCCCGCCCACTGGCACCCTGGGATTATTTGAGGTGATTGCAAACTGCAATCGAGAGGATACTTCGCCGATGTACGCGCGCCATTTGCAGCAATAAAAAGTTCAGATTTGGTCGAGAACACGGGTGTCCAACTCAAGGCCCGGGGGCCAGATCTGGCCCGGCAGCTCATTTTATGTGGCCCGCGAAAGCATGTGTGTCAACTTGCTAAAATCTGGACCAATATTTTGCAGTACTGTAATTTTGTTAACGTGTTTACACCCACTTGAACAATAATTGAACAAACTATTATAATTTACTTGACTGATTGGAAAACTAGTAATCTATTCATTTGTTGTGTAATAATTTTGTGGTTTTACTGTCATAACAACCCTCCCAAGAGAGACGTGATTCAAAATTGGCCCGCGACTAAAATGAGTTTGAAACCCCTGATCTAGAACTTTTTGATTAATTCATTATTTTCATGTCCATTCAATAACTTTTCAATTAAAACACACAGACACACACACGATAACAATGCATATTTTTTTTCAAGTAAAACCATGAAACATCCGGTTGTGTTTTCCAAAGTTCTAGTTCTCGCAGAGGCATAAGTTTACGTACAGTTGCAAATCGTTGCAGGTACCTTGAGGACTCAAAATGTAACGTCGGCATGTCACGAACATGAAGTAGTCATGCCGGCTGATATTCACTGCTCAAAATATACAAACAGCACAAATCTCAGCTCAAGTTCTTTGTTTACCGAAGCAATTTTGGAAACTGACCTGATTGAGGACAAGCATTCGAGAAAGCAGACGGATGTCTCCTTGACTTCGACTCTCTCTCCATGTCCTCCCACATCACATCAGGTGTGTCTGGAGTCGGACAGGCCGGTTCCAGACTGCCGCGGCCGTCTGTCCAGCCTGTCCCCTCTGCCGTCCTTCCAGTCCGTGGCAGTCCTGGTCGGCGTGTCCCTGTGGGCTGTGTGGACCAGCGTGGTTTGTCTCTGCCTCTTTCGATTCTGCAGTGCCGCCACCGTCTACAAGATCTGCGCCTGGCTGCAGCTCACAGCAGGTGCGATCGCTTCTCATTGCCGCCGGCGTCCAGTCACGTGGCTTGACTGGAGTCCAAATTAAGGCGCCGGTTTTCGGACTTGGGACTTGCACTTTGGTTATTTGCTCCCATCTCCGCCTTCAGGGTTTTGCTTGGCATTAGCCTGTCTGCTGTTCCCCGATTCATGGGAGAGTCCGGAGATGAGAGTCCTATGCGGCGACTCGGTGAGTGGCTCGAGACTCGGTTTGATTCGACACAGTCGATGGTTTATGGCGGCTCGTGTGTGTGTGCGCGCGCACGCGTCTGTGTCGTACCCAGGTGGGCAGCTTCTCGTCGGGGAACTGCTCCGTCCACTGGGCCTTCATCCTTGCCATCCTGGGCGTTTTGGACGCCGCCATCTTGGCCACCCTGGCGTTTGTGCTGGCCAACAGACAAGATGCTCTGCTGCCGCCGCTCGGCAAGGAAGGTGGGTTCGTGCGCGTCGTCGCGTTGCACATGTGAAGAGACAACCTGACTTATTGTGTGTGCGCGTGTACCGCGACCACAGGACTGCTGATGTCGGCGTAGACGCCGCGGGACTTCTCTTCCTTCTCAGACAATGACATCATCATCACCATGACATCATGGCGATGTCGTGAAAACACACCATATGATGAAAGACGGAACTGTTGTTGCTGATCAGCTCCTTGTTTTCAAGCACGTCATGTGTTTAGCAGTAAGTGTAGTTCGCGCATCGTTAGCTTCCAAACGCAATGGAAGGCAAGTCCTTCTTCTCTTTGCATGGCTAGCTTCAGTCGAGTGTGGTAACACAATTTGAGCATCGTTCAGCCTTTCCAATCGCATTAGGCAGAGGCCCCGTTGTCCTGAGCTATTATCCGGTGGTAACAGTTAGCCTAGCTTCTGTTATTTCTCGTTCCACGACTATTTTTTCGTCATTGTATTTCGCAAAAGAATCCGGTCAGATATTTTTTTCCCTGATCATGTGAACTCTGTCAAGATGTTTAAAAACAACTGTGTACTTTGCTTTAGTTTAGCATCATTGAGGTTGAACAGTATGCGTCACATTTCCATACAGTGTTTTCATCTGTTCCAAGTGTTCGGCTACTATGATTTTTAAAAAATTGTTGTGTGCTCGTGTAACTACTGTTAGCATGTCAGCCTTTGAGAATAATCAAGACGGTAGTACTAAGATAGTGCGCAAATTCCCTCTTCCCCTAACGTGCTAGCTTAGCAGAGGACGAGCTAAAGTTGGCCACCAGCAGACAGCCGACTGTGGCGTGACGGAAATTTCCAGTCGAGGTCCGACAGCAGGAGAGAAGAAAGCGGAGTGGTCATCTTTGAAGGTGATGCAGAGAAAGGTCTGAATGGTTTTTGGCGATGACGGATGTGAACACCAGCCGCCAACGGCTAGCTGCTCAACAAAAGATACAGTACAGTTCCCAACGAAAGATAAAGAGCCCTTTGTCATACACTGTATTTATAAATTAGACTATTTATGTACTTTATGTATGATTAATAAAAAATTTTAAAAAAGGCCTGAAATGGCTGAGAAGAAAGTAGTCCGGCGTATTTTTACAGATGTGTCTTCCCAAAATCAAATCATCGGCATGCCATTTATTTTTATAGGATGGTGTTGTAATTAAGAAATTATTTTTAAAGTGTTTTGGGATCACTGTTTGGGGCAGATTTCGTGTTGTTCACTATTAAGAACCTTTTAGGGGGGGAGCATCCATCATTCGTGCTTTTCATTTTGGGGCACGTAACGCGTTCCCAGCACTGCCGCTTGTACTGCCGCATATAACGCGGATGGCTAAAACCGCCGCCATGTGTCCGGGACCGCTTCCTGCCGCCTGCGTGACAGCAAGCATTCATCGCATTGGTGTGACATGTTCCGTTTGGTGACGTTGAAACATGGTCAACATTTTTGAAACTTTATTCTTACTTTTGTATATAGTGTGCCATGTTGGCACGCACACTTGTGGTCACATGACAAGCTGGAGTGCACAAAGACAACTAGAAGGAACTAAACACAGCGCTTCAAATGATGTTCTTGGTGGTGCCACTTTGAACTTGGCTCCCTCATCAAACAACACAAATGACCACCCAAGATGGGGCAGATGTGGCAAAGTGTTTCGGCTCGAGCTACTACCTTGTCGCGTAAGATGAACATTTTTCACCCTGAATCTTTTGAATGGCTGCAGAGGGGTCGACGAAGATCGCCCGGATGCGAGCATTTTTACCCGGTTCTGAGCAGAGTCGGCAAAGGCCAGATTGGCAGATTAATCGGTGACGACATTCCTCACCCCAGATCTTTTGATTGCCTAAAATAGGCTGTACCCATTCCGACAATCAGGTTCAATTTGAGATTTTTTTTTTTCCCTCTTTGCGATCAAATTCAGCAAAGGCCCGCTTGTCAGCTATCGCTCAAGAGGACCCTTGGCGGTTATTCTGCTGGGTGCTGCGTTAGAAATCATTTCCCTCCAGCCGGCCCCGTTAATGGCGAAAGTGGGGGACACGCATCACGGCGATCGGGCATTATTTAAGGATTTTCCCTCAGTCGTAATAAAAGTGAGCAATGGATATGCGTACGTTCATGACAATAAAGACGATTCTGCTCAATCACCACTTCTTTTCCTCCTTCATTTGCTCTCCCCGGGCCGCCTACTTTCTCATGTAGTTGACGATCTGGTGAAGCAGCACATGGTTGAGGGCGGCTCTCCGGCGTCGGGCGCCGTAGCGCACGTTGGCATTTGGCACGGCGTGAAGCTGCTGCCCCTCCTGTTCTTCCTCGCCCAGCCTCTTCACCCTCAGCAGCGGTTCGCTGTCGGACGGTGGCGCGTCGTCATCCCCCAGAGAACGGCGGCTTCTCCGGTGGGCGCCTCCCGCGGGCTCCGCGACGGATAGATCCCGTTTTGCGCGCCGGTTGGAGGGGCCATCGTCGGGGCTGATGATTGGCAGGATCCTCGCGAGGAAATGTCTGAGGAGGCGGGACACCGTGATGAGAGTCTCTTGGCCTTCAGTGGACTCAGCGATGCGCACCTACCTCACATCGTCACCGAGGTCTTCGTAGTTATCGCCCCGGAATCGCTCGAGTCTTGTCTTTGCCAGCTGGGCTCCACCTACCCGTGGCTCCACCCTGCCAATCATAGGCTACTTTTTACTCTTAAAGACAATAACTTGCTTTTTAGAGAGTCCAACGAGTCAGTAAAAACTTGTAAACTAGTCTGTCAAGACTCGTTGGAAACTCTTGATTCTCTTTAGAGAGTCCAACTCGTCTCTAAAGTTTCTTCAACCAGTCTGTAAGAAAAGTCCATGTAGTCTGTAAAGACACTTCAATGAGTCTGTCGACTCTTTATCAAGTCAGATGAATGCTGGACTTCCACCTCACCATTTTTCCAGTCTCAAACTAAAAACGAAAAGTCAGAAGGAAGTTTTAGGGTTTTATTCGATGGTGATCGCCATCGTTTCGCATAACGTGCTCATCTGAGCTGTTTTAGATCAGTGTTCTCCTCGTCTTGGACTTACGACAATATCCAACGTGTTTGAAATTATCGTCAGACCTTTCAGTCTTTGCGGTGACGTGACACAACCAACAACCGATAATCAGAAGTGGCAGTTCCAGGTCCAGGAAGTAAAAAAAAATCTGTCACAATTTGGCTCGTGCCACATGTGCTTCTACTCAACCGACGCTCAACTCTAGCAGGGTTTGTACTTTCTGGACAGAAATATGCCAATCGATGAGCTCGGTCAAAATTAAAACAGGGCAAACAAGCATAAGAATGGCATGGATGAAAGGGAAGCACCAAAGAAAACGCGGCTGCTCCGAAGAACATGGCCCGTCCGAAACGCCGAAAGAATCTCGTTGCCGTCTTGTAAGTAGTGACCCTCCCAAATACAAAGTCTCAGTCTCAGCTCTGACAGTTGCCTGCGACTAAAAACTTACAAGGTTCATTTCCAGACCTTCTCAAAGTCTTGTGACGTACAGGAAGCTCGATCAAGACTGTTCCACACACCTCCTGCACAAGCCTGTAAATATTCTTGAGCTATTCTGTACATACAGGTCTGGTGAAACTCTTCAGCAAGTCGATCTTGTCTTTAAAGACTTCAGTCTGTAAAGACTCTTTTGAAAAGCCTGTCGAGAGTCTTTGGAAAGTCAGACTGGTGGCTAAAGACGCTTCTCCAAGTCACACTCATCTCGACAGACACAAGACAAACTGGAAAGACTCTTCAACAGGTCAGCTGAGTCTTTAGAATGTCTGACTCGTCTGTCAAGACTTGGCAAAGTCCAACTAGTTTGTCAAGACTCCTTATTGAGTCTGGAAACACACTTTAGAGAGTCCAGTTCATCTTTAATGACTTTTAAACTCGTCTGATTTTGGTATGTGGAAGGCAAGGCCCACCCGAGTGCAGGGAGAACATGAAAACTACAATGAGGAAGACTCGCGTCCAGATGCTGACCCCAAACTTCAGAACTCGGGAGGCAGATGTGCCAACCGCAATGCCAAAATGCTGCCACTAGCTGTAAGCAAGCTCTTCCAAAAAGGTTTATGACATCCTCCAGATTCAGGACCATCCCATCACCTGTCTAGCAGGGCCTGAAGCAGCTGCGGCGTCACCAGGGTCCACCAGGCCGCAGGGGGCCTCCCCATGCTCGCACCCCGGCCCCGGCCACGGAAGTCCTTTCCTTCCATCTGCGGGTCCCCCGGGTCGACCGATCCCGCTGCCTCGGCTTTGGCGAGGAAGCGCAGCAAAGTCGCAATGGTGGCTGCGTGAAAGTGACAGACCGGATTGGATTGGTCAACTCACGTGAATGGTCGCTAGCGGTAAGAAGCCATCTCATACTTTTTGTTAGCAATGGTTGCCGGGATTCATCCGGGTGGCAGAAGTCAAGTGACGACCGCTTACCTGAACTAAAAAAATGATCACAAAAACTTGTGATATCTCCGCAATAAACTTTCGCAACACTTGTTTTAACGTTACACAATTTGGCAATCTTGTCTCGCGAGAACGGAAATCTCGTCACACGAGATGACTTAACTCGAGATCAAAACAACAATGGCGGCGATTGTCAAACTGCGATCGTTGCTGGAAAAAAAGATGTACTGTCGTTTTTTTTGTTGTTGTTTTAACTGAGAAATTTCCTTGCGTCCCAAAAACGCACATTATTTGGAACCGTGCGTCCCATGGGGAAAATTACGCGTCTAGGATGAGGGACGCAGAGGTAACAAGATGGCTGTGAATAGGGACGGCTGGGCGCTGATGGAAGGGTACCTAGGTCACGAACAGCAGGACGGAGCGGCAAAACCGGCTCAAGTGGCCATCTTTGTTTCATACAGCGGTACTTGTCATGAGGATAAGTTGAATGGATGTCACAAATATTTGTCCAGAGACAATCGCAAGACCACTTGAAGAAGGCCAAACGGGGATATCTTTGAATCCTTTCGAAAAACATCCAGTAACGGGTAGCCTGATGGCTTACGTCAGCTACTGCGCGCTATACGTTTCATCGTCAAACAAGCGTATCTGTGCCGAGCAAGAGAAAAGTCAATTAGCCGCTCCCTCAATTACCGTAACTGGATCGGAATTTTGAAATTGTCCAAATGTTAATTACGCCTGGCGTTGGGTCTCACTTCTAAACTTAAGCCAAGGAGCTGACCTTACACGACATCTTTTCACCTGGCACTTGACCAAAATAACCATTCGAGCCCTTCGCCCTGTTTTCTCAATTCCTCCTCCGCTATTGTCAAACGACAAAGGAGGCTTTGCTTGCTCGTGGCGCCATCAGAGAGGCTTGGCCTTTTGCCACTCGGAAGTACGCGCGGTGTCACAGTGAAACATCCTATTTGAAAATGTACAAACTATGATTACTGTATTTTCAGTCGCCAAATAGGGTAATAAAGCACAGGGGGAAGCTCTGGCATACAACAGGGTGGGAATTGTTAATACAGCGTCGCCCGCGATGCTTGTTAATTCATAGAGAATAGTGACAATATTCTTATTTTAGTGTGTACATTTGTAACATTACACAAATAAATAACTTGTTAATTCATAGAAACTTGCTTACCTTGCGTTTTACTTTTGCTTCTTGTTCTGCCATCTTCTAGCTTTGCAGGCTTCTTCTGATGATCACTAATTGAATGCTGACCCCCTCCCACTTGTAAAAATCCTTCCATTAGGGGACCAAATGGGCGGGGCATATGCAAAGTGTGTGTGTGGAGCAGTGAGTGCAATAGCACCGAATAACCATGTGGGGGGCTGCTGAGCACCATTCACACACAAACAATCAGCAAAAATGGTGACTTGTGGGCCTTTGCTAAAAACTTCACAGGCATATTCAGGGCAGCCCCCCTGATGCTTTTTGTATGTTATTCTTATGGGGACCTGCTTTTTTGTCCCCAGACGGTCACTGGTCCCCAGGACGTGACTGTGTAAACAATTTTATGTCCCCACAACCATACATAAACGAGAACACACACACACACACACTGGACACCAGAGACTGGAAGGCCTTGTTGCTATGGGCTACTGCCTCTTGTCACTATGGTGACCAGGAGCTGAAATGCAACATTCATCAGCACACACACACACACACACACACACACAAACACACACATACACACACACACACAAATAGGCAAGGACACAGACACGCACATGCACGCACCTCGCTTCCACAAAATGGAAGCGAAACAGCCAAAGAAAGTGGTGCATCACGCTTGATGAGAGGAAGGACGCGATGGCGCCTACCTGAGCGGCGTGGAGCAGCGCGGCGCCAAGCACGAGGAGGCCGAGCGACGCCATTCTGAGCACTGAACGCTCACGAAAAGCCAACAACAAGGAGGTGGCTGGGAGAGGGAGAGGACAGAAATGAGAGAGACAGGGGAGGGGTGAGAGATAGATCAAGATAGATGAGGGAGAGAGAGAGTGAGAGCCCACGCACATTGATTGATAACAGTGAGAGAGAGAGAGAGAGAGAGAGAGAGAGAGATTGATGAGAGGATGGAGACACGGGGAAGAGATAGAAAAGGGGCAGAATGATCAGACGGAGAGCGGAGTGACGAGGTAAAGAGAGAAGGGAGTGAGACTGTTAGGGTAGTTCTGTTTTTGACCAACAGGTGGCACTGTAGGGCTCCTCCTGCAGTGGCACACCTGTTGGTCATTGTTTCATTAGTGTGTGGTTAAAAGGACTCCCTGCCCGAACAGTCCGTGTCGGATCATTGTGTGTCTCTGTGCACGTGTCATGTTTTGTTTTCCGTCTTGGGTTTTTACTACTTTGATTTCTTGTGGTTTTTCTGGATTTTATTTGAGTGAGTTTTTTGAGTTAATTTCTCCAGTGTATTCCTGTTTAGATTTTGTTCACTATATTTTGGTCAATCCACTCTGCTCCTCCCTGAGTGAGTTTTTTGAGTTAATTTCTCCAGTGTATTCCCGTTTCCATTTTGTTCAATATATGTTGGTCAATCGACCCTGCTCCTCCCTGCTTTTTGGGGTCCTCCAACTACCACCTCGCAAAACGTGACTGAGACAAGGGACAGTGAAAGTAAGGGTATTTTCTGTCAAGACTTTCAAGGACCCTCTCCGGGGATGAGTTTTTTTTCTCAAAACTTGAGTCTTTATTTTGGACTAGAATCTTCGTGAGCAATGCCAACCTCTCAACTGAAGTCGGGTGAGTCTCAAAGGGCTTCCCGAGCCCACAGTTGACAAATACGAGCAACATCCGCTGATAACCCCCCACTCCCCCCTTGGCTTCTCTCAGGACTTGAGCCTTCTCTCAGTACAGGTGCCATCACTGACCATGACCTTCTCTCAAGACTTGATCACTCCCGAGCCCACAGTTGACAAATACGAGCAACATCCACTGATAACCCCCCCTCCCCCCTCCCCCCACGGCTTCTCTCAGGACTTGAGCCTTCTCTCAGTACGGGTGCCATCACTGACCATGACCTTCTCTCAAGACTTGATCACTCTCTTGGAAATACAATTTTCCTTTCCGAAAAAAACATTGTAGTTTTCATGTTCTCCCTGCACTTGTCTCCGAAAGAGACTGCTTATTTAAGCGGGAAATAAAGAATTTCCTGTGATTTATGCCATAAAAATGGTCAAAATACACGAAGAAACGCACCTCTCTTGGAAATACAATTTTCCTTTCCGAAAAAAAACATTGTCGTTTTCATGATCTCCCTGCACTCCTCTCCGAAAGAGACTGTTTATTTAAGCAGGAAATACAGAATTTTCTGCGATTTATGCCATAAAAATGGTCAAAATACATTAAGAAACACAGCAAAATCATAGTCCAGAGGACAAATATGAATACATGTGTTATTTTTCCACTCATGAACTGAACAATGGCTCTTTTCAATTTGATTTGCCCATTGTCACGTCGTTTTGGCACAAGATGAACGAATGATGGAGAACTAATGTTCTGACACGATTGCATCCATTGGAAGTGAAAGTGACATCAATAAATGAATGCATCAACGATGAAGCAAAATGACTCAAATGTAAACATCATCACAAGGTGTCTACTTTAAGACAAGTGCCTTCCCTGGAGAGTCAGACCTTGTCTCAAGACTCCACCCTTCAGTTGAGACAAGAGTTGGAACTTGAACCTTGACGATCTGCCCTCAGGAGTAAAACCTTAGCTGGGGAACAGAACCTTCCCTGGAAACTAGTGCCTTCACTTGGGAACCTTCTTTCAAGAATGGAACCCTCTGGGAAATAGAATCGTCTCTCAGTACTGTCCCTTCAGATTAGCTTCCCCCAAAAGATTGTAACTTTCTATTGGTAGGAACTCCTGCTCATTGGACTAGAACTACAACTGGCACCAATTTCCGAAACATATACAGGAAGCGCAAACAATTAACAGTGCAATAATCAGATTAAAAATGATAGATGTTATTTTTTGGGGTGTGTATCTGTTGCCCAAATATCTTTGTCTCAAAAGAGAGGCATTTGTTTTGTGCTGTACTTGGTAGGTTGTGGATTTCGCAAGTTCAGACCATTTACTTTCATATTTATACTTTTAGATTTACTTTAATAAGTTTGTGAAGCAGCTCTGCCACATCCAATATGGCAGATGCAACGCCATAACACTGCAACGGGCTAACCAACTCAATGAGGCATCTGTGCTTTTAGTCTTCTCAATCTGGAGTACCAACAAAGAAAAGTGCAAAGGAGAGAAACACAACACACACACACACACACACACACGCACACACACGCACACACACACACACACACACCCACACGCACACACGTCATCAGTTACTGTACAACACAAACATCCACAAGGATGGCTGCCGATTGGCCGAAGGGACAAAATTCAA